AGGAGCAGCGAGTGCACGACCCAGGATACAGCAGTGGGGAGGGGCCTCAGAAGCCTCTTTCAGATCCTGCAGTCACCAGGAGGGGCTCATCGAACCGGCACCTTTTACTCTAACTGTAACCTCCTTTTGCCTGGGACACTGATTGGAAGAATCTTGTCACAATCCCAACGGTCCAACCACAGGAAGGTATGCTGCCACCAGCCAGTGACCCCGCTGCTCCAGATGTTCCAGCAAGGGCTGGGCCCCTGCTCCTGGAGAATGTCATGAAGGGGTTTTTGTAATCCCTTAGTGTATTCGCAGAAGCAGGCAGGAATGGCTTCAGGCTGTTTATTGTTTGGTTAGCCTTCGTTTCCTTCCTCTCCTCACCTCCAAAGGCAGGCTCCAACCTAATTCAATAATGCCACCTAGCTGGTGAACTTCCAAGCCGTAATTATTTTCATCCTCACACAAACCTGCTTTTATCGTCATATTCTTGGAGCCCGCTGAACGCTCGAGCATGCCAGCAAACACCGCAATGACTCCCGTCTCCCAGAGGCCCTGCAGCCTTCCTTAGTTATAGCTGTGAAGTATTTTGAGAAACTTGAATTAAAGTGCTAGAGAAAGCACAACACACATTTATTGCTCATCTTGGAAAGACAACAGCAATGAGCTTCCAAAACTCTCCTTGATTAACATAATCTGGGAGTAATGAATATGGATATTGTCAACAGTCACTTAGAAGCATGTTTTCTTTTGTACATTTTGTTCTCTCCAGTAAATTTCCAACCGAGAAAGGAAATGCCCCAAGCCCCTGTTTGCATCAATAAAGCAAGCTACTCAGAGGAATTACATGGAGGGAATAGAGCCAGGAAAGAATTCTCACTGCCTTCAACCTTGGTTTTGGTTGATTCTCTCTATTTTCACCACAATTTCTAATTATCTATCAAATAGAAGTCATCACCTCTTAACCAACCTGATACTTTTCTCAGTGCCCTTGTGACAGTTTCTGATGAAAGGCTGATCAGGACAAATATCCCAAAGGGTGTCTCCAGAAAGCACAGCATCCACAGTTACCACCCGCAGAAGGCAGTGGCCAAAAGGCCCAGTCACCGCCCAGGAAGAGAAAACAGAAGCACCTGTCTAACGTGTGGCTCCAAGTGGAAAATGGCAATGGATCAGTCAGGGTTCCCCAGAGAAAAAGAACCAACAGGATTTACAAAGATACATATGAGGAGATTTCTTATAGGAACGGGCTCACAGGTCATGGAGGCCGAGAAGTCCCACGATCAGCTGTCTGCCAGCTGGAGAACCAGGAAAGCTGGTGGTGGAATTCGGGCTGAATCAGAAGGCCTGGGCATCGGGAGGGGCCGACGGGGTGAGCCCTGGTCTGAGCTCAAGAGCTCAAGAACCAGGAGCACCAGTGCCCAAGGAGAGGAGCAGATGGACGTCTCAGCTCCAGCGGAATCAGTGAGCTTGCTCTCCCTCTGCCTCTCTGTTCCATTCTAGTCTTCAGCGGATCCAGTGGCGCGCACCCACACTGACGAGGGATCCTCTCCACTCAGTCCACCAATTCAAACGTAATCTCTTCCAGAGACACCCTCACAGACACACCCAGAAATCATGTTTTACCAGCCATCTGGGCATCCCTTAGCCGTCAGGTTGACACATAAAATTAACCATCACAGGCAGTATCTGCTTTTCCACACCAGCAATTACTCCCAGGGCAGTGGACCCCAGGCCTGCCGTGCTAGAATCACCTGGGGAGCTGTAAGGAATCACGTATCTAAGCAGCACCTCAGACCAATTAAACTGGGATTTCTGGGGTTGGGGCCAGGCACCAGTGTTCCCGAAAGATCCACAGGTAATTCCGCTGTGCAGCCAAGTTGGAGACACCGCCACCTCACTCAGCAGCAGGCCCACACGTCACTCACCTTTGTACATCAGTCCTGGGGCTGCTTTATCACCCAGCATGATTCTTCAGTTAACAGCAAAGCAGCTACAGTGAGCTTTTAAAAATGTAAATCATATTGTGACGCTCCCCTGAAAAAAACCCTCCCGTGGCTTCTCACAGCACTTAGAATAAACACTGTTGTCTTGGCTTGTGAGAGCCTCAGAAGCACCTTAAGCAGGAGAGTAAGTACATGAGCTTGGCAAGTGAGGAAGTGGGGCCGAGCTCTGCCCTTGTGGGCTCTGTGACTTCCGAGGAGCTACCAGACCTCTCCCAGCCTCCTGTGCCTCGTCTGTAAGTGCAGGTTGGTTATAAGGATTCAACTGGTTGACAAACTTAAAGCTCTAACATGGCACTCAAATCCTCCTCATCACCCATCCCAGTCTCACTCAGTTCCCAGAGCAGGCACCCATCTCCCCTCTGGCCCAGCTCTGCAGGACACTCTCCCTTGACACGTGGCATGACTGGCTCCTTGCCACCACTTGGGAGCCAATGCCATGACCGCAGAGACCCTCTTGCCCCTTCCTCACCCTGTCTGGTTTCCTTCATAGCCTATATTCATGTACTAGGGCCATACTATACTTTGCTATAACAAAGCATTCTGTCTTAAATAGCAGAAATTTATTGTCTCACAGTTGAAGGCTGGAAGTCTGAGATCAAGGTGTTGGCAGGGTTGGTTCATTCTGCAGGTTGTGCGGACAGCTCTGTCCCAGCACTCCCTCCCAGCTTCTGCAGGTCTGCTGGCCACCCCTGGTGCTCCCTGGCTTTGAGATGCTTCACCCTGATCTCTGCCTTCATCTTCAAGTCTCATTCTCCCTGTGCAAATTTTCTCTTTTTATAAGGACACCCACCAGGCATATTGGATTAGGGCCCCATCCCACTCCAGCATGACTTCATGTTAACTAATTACATCCTCCATGACTCTATTTCCAAATAAGGTCACATTCTGAGGTAGGGAGGGTTAGGGCTTCAACATATAAGTTTGGAGGGGACACAACTGAACGTGTAACATATCCCTTATCCCTCTCTACAATGATCTGATTTTCTTTTTCTACCCCTGTGACGAATTGTGTTGTCTCTCCTCACTGCATGTCATTGCTTATATTGTCTGATTTTTTTTGCAATAGCCATGCTATGCTTTTGTAATAAGAAAAATAATAAAAAGCTTTTCAGGCAAAAACAAAAGCAAAGCTTCTCCCTTGCACTGTGATTTGGGAGTCCGTCATCTCCTGTTCTGGACTGGAAGCTCCAAGACAGCGGGAACTAAGTCTTTGCATCCCTGAGCCTAACACCATGCCTGTCACATAACAGATTCTCAGGATATGCTGGCTGAGTTGAAATTAAACAGATATATACCTTGATTTCCCCATAAGAGCTCCAGAGCTTGAGTGAAGCAACTGTTCTTGCAGCCTTCCTGGTATAGATGTGATATATCTTCTCACAAATCTGGAAATCTTAAAAAAAAAAGAATGCTGACACTCTAGGCTTTTGAATGACTATGGCATATACCGTGGCATTATCCAACTGTACTGATATTTAAGATGTTGTCAAAAAATTAAAGCATGGTATGAAGCAATGCTGTCAAATCTAGGAGGAAATTAAGCCAGTAGGTCCATCACTCAACCCCTGTGAACTAAACTGCCACATTTTACCTGATTCTTCTAATTAGGCCGTTTGCAAAGCCTTTAGATGCAGACAAGTGTTACATTAACTGCTAAGTAGTATTTATTAATAATGTTGGTAGATTACGTTGGCTGGTACCTGTAAGTGTAAATGTCGTACGGTTATCAGCACAGAACTTGGAACCAATGTTCCAGTTGTCCTTCAAAAATTGTTTATAGAATTTTACAAAGAAAGAAACTTCATATAACCTTGGCGTTTTCTAACTTGACAAAACTTTAGAAATCATCTAATATAATAATTCTCAAGTCCATCAGACCTAACACCCTTTTTGTAATAAATGTTTCGTCACACCCCTCTTTAATATCCTAAAGCAAAATTCATGGGCAACCTACCTGTATATAACATATTTCAGTATGTAAACACTCAGAAAAGTACAAATGAAGTCAGAAGATGCTTGCACTGTATGACAAATCACTGTAAATGTGCCAGTTTCAAGTGGCAGGCTGTTACAGGGGAGCTGAAATCAGAGATGCAGCCCCAGCGGTTGCATGAGGAAACTTTGGTTTCCTAAATCGGTGATGAACTCCTCTTAAGTTCCAAGCTAAAGAATTTACAATCTTTCTTCAATTTATTCTATGATTGCCTTCCTAGAAAAGTTAAGGTGCTTGTATATTAAAACCATTCAAAATAATCCCACGTAGAACTGAGTTAGATTTTAAGTTCAGAACATCATAAGCAGAATTTTCATCTACAAGAATGTCTGGTGAGATATTTGAAAATACTATGACCCCACCCCACACATTTAGCATCTCAGGGGCCCAACCACCAAATGCCACGAACACTCCCTCCACCCCAATCTTTCAAAAGAGCAAAAATTTCTCAAAACATTTTTCATTTCACTTGACAGCAAAGTTCTAAGACAATTTCATGGGGTGGCATTGCTCCTCTTGAGAGTCACAGATTTAATTTTACATCCTTATGTAAAAAATGAGAACTTGTGTCGCCAAAGAACATGCCCAAGGATCACAGACCAAGTCTTGGTGGAGTCAGGTAAGAAGCACTTAGACTTTGACAGAGAGCATTTTCCTCATGCCAGGCACTGTCTTAAGCTCTTTTTAAATATACACTAATTTAACCTTCACATGAACACAAGGAAGGAGGCTTTATTATCCCCATTACACAGTTGAAACTGAAGCAAAGAAACGTGTAGTAACTCACCCAAGGTCCGAAAGCTGCAGGTGGCAGAGCCCTGACTCAGACCACCCTCTTCAGAATGACTATACGGCACAGTGCAAACTCTGGACTGTCACTTAGGACTGGAGGGGACACAAAGGGGTAAATGCAAGCCTCCCACATTATGAGTACAGGACAGAGCTGCTCTACCAGGTCAGTATGCTGACCTCCACCCAGGCCTCCAAGTCACCTGGTCTCATCTTCCTCTTTCCTGCAGACATTCATGCCCAGGAGAAGACTACTTTCAGTTCCTCTGGACCTTTCCTAAAAGGGAGCTCTCTGCTCACTAGATGAGTTCCAGAAGCATCCACTAAGGCTCCCATCGCCCTCTTCCATCAGTTGGCCTTCACCACAACCCACATCGCTCAGGATGAGTGGCTTCCTCGCGTCGCTGGACCCCCGGAGAGTGCAGTGGGGGGCCGCCTGGTATGCCATGCACTCCAGGATCCTGCGCACCAAACCGGTGGAATCCATGCTGGAGGGGACTGGGGCCACCACAGCACATGGCACCAAGCTAGCCCAGGTGCTCACCACCGTGGACCTCATCTCTCTTGGCGTTGGTAGCTGTGTGGGCACTGGGATGTACGTGGTGTCCGGCCTGGTGGCCAAGGAAATGGCAGGACCTGGCGTCATTGTGTCCTTCATCATCGCAGCCGTTGCGTCCATATTATCAGGTAAGGGTCTCGGTGCAGGGGAAGGCCTGTGGGAAGCGTGCTTGCCAGCCTGTGACTGTTCATCCCACGCTTCTAGAGTATTTAGTGGCGAGATGCATGAAGTGGCAGAGAGATGGTTATCGTGCTCCCTTTTTGCCTTGACTCCAGGGAGCTCAGTGCTAGGTTTTGGCTCAGTTGAAGTAGCTTCCTTTTTCTTTGGCTTTTTTTATCCAAATAATTATTCTGGTGCCTAGCCGTAGTCCAACTTCTCATGCCCTGTCCGGTTCTAATGGCTCTGTTTTTATTCTAACTCTCCCTTTCATGGGAAGGTAGGTCAATCCCTTTGTAGATGGTGGATATAGCCAGGATATAAATAACATAGAATGGATAGGCATAGTCACAAAATGACAAGTCAGTAAATCTGATATGATTGGGATCTGATGAGCCTCAGACTGGCATTGTGATCTCCAAGCAGGAGGAAACCAAGCTAGGAAACATAAAGCCATTGTGAGAATCACAAAGCACCATCTGCCAGAAGCACTTCGACAGAATGATATTCTGCAGAGGTAGCTCAGCTAGTGCCTTCTCTCTCCTTGAGAAAGACTCATAAACTCAGGGTTTTTGTTGTTTTTTTTTTTTAATTGAGGGACCGGGACTTGCATGTTGATAGTTTCTGAAACAGCTCTCCTATTTCCTTTTCCTCCTCTTCTCTTGAGCTGCGATCCATAGTATCTTCCCAGAATACCAGGGGTGGGTCAATGGATGACTTGAAAAAGAAAGAAATGGAAAACTTCCTGTTTTTTGATGGTTATATTGCAAAAGCATGAGGCTTTGCTGAGTTTTGGATGGCAGATCACACGGGTCAATTCATGTATTGGCAGTGAATGTTGTGGCCTCTTCAAATGTGTCTAGGAATGCTAATTTACATCAGGAGTCCTGTGTACTAATGCATATCATCCCAAGAAAAGTTCTGCATTATATTGTACATTCAGACTAAACAGTCTTCATCCATATGGGATACACAAACCAGGGTCATGTAACCAGAAAGTGTATGGTTTATATTTGACATTCTTCTAATTTGATGAGGACGGTATTCTCAGGCTGATTTTATTTATCTCCTGTCATGGCTCATATCCTTGTTAGTTTTACCATCATCTTTTCCTGAATTCATTCTCTAATATGCATGAATATCCTAATAATTGAGGTTCCTGCAGAACAGAGGATTTTTTTTCCTTATAGATGAAAATAAGTTATTCACATGAATAAATTCTGTGGATGCTTGAAATTCTATTAGCCTGATTGCAAGCATTTTCAAACTTATTTGGCAAAGAAATTATTTGGGTGAAGTTGCCAGATTCTTATTCACCAGAAATTTATAAATCTAAAGATGTTAGCATACAGAACAAAATACCAATGTTAGGAGAAAAGGCAGGCATATAACCATGGGTCCTACAGAGGGTAAGGGCAGATGGCTAGGAGTCCTGTCCAGTCAATGCAGACTGCACAGTCTCCGCTATGCCCCACCCTATTACGATCCAGTCCCCCAGACCACGATGCCCCACCGGTGAATCCCGCACATCTTATCTTTCATTGCGCTACACTGTGTTTAGAATCCAGAAAAAGGCCCGGTCACATTCTGGGAGCCTGACTCCTGACACTGTGCTCGTGGGTGCTATAAACCTAGACTGGGGCTGTGGTGGGAGTGTTTACTCCACAGAAATTGGCAAATGCTACAAATCAGTTTGTTCGTTGTTTGTTTTCAGAGAGTGAGTGGTTCAACATTTACCAGCACACCACTGACCTAGCTCCACCCACAGCCCTGATACTGCCCAGTATTTGGTGCCTTCACTACTGCACAGAAACCAAAAGAAAACCCTGCTTTTCCCCCAGTTAGGGACACCCCTCTCTGCAGATGGCCTCATCCATAACACTTCCCTATGCTTTGTAACTGGCTCATCTCCCAGCTGAGGCTGGCCAGAATCCTCCTAGAGCCCCGAGCCAGGCTCAGGACCAAAATAACTGTACCAAAGTCAGCAGCATTTTTAGATCAGGTTTCTTCAACCAGGCTCCTCACTCTATGATCTTTGTCACTAACCCAAGGAAAGTCCCCCTCCAATGTCTTCTTTCTACCCCACACCATCATCTCCGTATCACCTCTCCCTGGCCTAACTTCCCACTGCTTCTCTGTATCGCAATAATCAAGGCTCCCTTTATCCTCAGACTTTTTAATACATGGTCCTTTCCTCTTTCTGGCTCAACCCTGAGAACACTGTAGCCTGGAAATGAAAATACTAAGAACATGAAATAGAAGGATAGAAATGAAGACAAAGAATAGGGTTTTTGAAGTTAAGATTTCAGCAGTGATCAGTAACAGTAAGTTCAGGCTTGGAACCTGGCTCAGCTACTGACCAGCTGTGAGGCCCTGAGCAAGTTGCATAACTTCTCTGAGCCTCAGTTTCTCCACCTTGAAAATGGTGACAATAATACCTACTTCACAGAGCTGTTGTAAAGACTAAATGAGATGTCTGTAAAATGCCTGTACAACACCTGGCACGAAGCACCTAATAAGTGGTTATTATTATTTTGTGCCAAGTCTTGTATTAGGAGCTTGACTAATAATCACATTTAAAACTCATAATATCTCTTCAAGGTAGGTTTTATTACCTCCAGTTTTACATATGAGGAAACTGAAGTTTAAATAACAACCCTGACTACGAATTTAAATAACTTGGAGAACTTGTTTCTGAATAATGGATTAGGGGGGAGGGGCTCAGCTTTATTGAGTTGCAATTACATACAGTAAAACTGACCCTTTTAAACAGACAATTCTATGAGTTTTGACCAATACATACAGTTGTGTAACCTCTACCATAATCAAAATACGGAAGAGCCTTTCACCCCCAAATAATTCGTTTATGTTATCTCTTTGTGATTTTCCCCTCTGCCACCGCCAACCCCTGGCAACCACTGATCTGTTTTCTGTCTCTATACTTTGCCTTTCCCATAATGTCATATAAATGGAACCATTCAATATGAAACCTTTTGAGTTTCGTTTCTTTCACCTAGTATGATACATGTAAGATTCATTCATGTTGTGTGTATCAACGAGTCATGACATTTTATTTCTGAGTAGGATCCCATTGTATGGCTATTCCACAGTTTGTTTATTCATTTACTAATTGAATAACAACTGGGTTGTTTCCAGTCTGGGGCCATTACGAATAAAACCATTATAAATATTTGTGTACAGGTTTTTGTGTGAACACAAGTTGTCGTTTCTCTTGTGTAAATACCTAGGAGTGGAACTGCTGGTTGTGTGGTAAGTGTAGTTTAACTTTATAATAAACTGCCAAACTTTTTTGGCTATATTATTTTTCTCTCTCACCAGCTACATGTGAGAGTTCCAGTTGCTCTGTTCCTTGCCAGCCCTGAGAATTGTCAGGTGTTGTTTTTTGTGGTCTGTCGTGTTTGTTTGTCATTTTAAAAGGTGTGTAGTGATATGTCAATGTGGTTTTAATTTGCATTTACCTAATTACTAATATTTTGAACATTTCTTATGTCTTTATTTGCCATGACTATATATTCTTTGGTGAAGTGTTTGTTCAGATCTTTTGCCCGTTATTTAATTGGGTTCTTCATTCTCTTAACTTTGAAGAGTTCTTTATATATTTTAGATACAAGTCCTTTATTAGGTATATGTTTTTGCAAATATTTTCTTTCAGTTTGTGACACATTTTGAAACTTTATTTTACTTTCTGTTTATTTTTTTAAATGCTCAGGCTTCACTCCCAGAGATTCTAATTCAACTGGACTAGGGTAGAACCGAGGGATTGGTATTTTTTTAAGTTTCCCAGGGAATTCTAATGTGCAGCCAAGGTTAAGAATTACTCTATTATAGGAACCAGGACCTACCTCTGCTATAGCCATGAACTACAAAAGAGGAAACATATGTGAAGATGGAGACTATTTGGCCAGCAGATGATAAAGATTTTTTAAATTTTTCAAATTTTTGTCCTAGTGTCATCATCCCTCACACCAGGCAAACCAGCTTATAACATGAAACAAATCTGACTAAGAGAGAGAGCACCTTTCTCCACAATTTGACAAGTAACTTCCCAGGCTCCTCCTACCATTCCTGCCCCAACACCATAACTGCCCACAGCCCTGTCACAGGTGGAGGGAAACTTATCAGAGGAAGCAGCTTGTGCTGTAACCTTTACCCTTCGTCTAAATGGTCTTATCTACTCTTCAATAGCTCAGCAGCCCACAACCAGACCCTATGCCCATGCCAAACCTTAAAAACTCTTTTGTATATATCAGATTGTATAAACCAGATAGGGGAAATCATTTTTCTTCCTTCCACCTACAGCTCTGTTGAGAGATGAGGGATGGAGGCAGGATGGTTTACAGAGGTTTTCTAGTTCAGTTGGCTTGGGATGAAACACAAAGCAAAGCCTCCGTGCCAGGGAAATCTGGCCATTTAAAGCAACCTGCCCCAAGAGATTCCTATGAACATGAGTGGGGAAATAAAGTTTATTTCTAGTTCTTTTAATAGTAATAAAATTGAACCTCAAACAGAGTATAGGTCTGAATGACTCCTAAGCTCGTGCAGTTTCTACAATAACCCTTCTAACCCAAGCCTCAGTTGGTTTTGGTAAGGATTAAATGACACTATGCATGCACAGCATCAATCCCCTGCCTGGTGCACAATACCAATGATTGTTACCATCTGCTCATAAGAAATACTAGCAAAAATCTAATAAGATATGGTTCAGGAAAGCTGTACTGAGTATCCACCACATGCCAGTCCTGGGGCAGCACCAAAAATAAATAAGAAGTTGTCTCTACCCTAAAGGACCCATCACTTATTGGAGATGAACACTAAACCAGATGAGTAATTACAGCAATAATAGTAATAATAATAATAATAGTAGTAGTAGTAGTAGCAGCAGCTCCCATTTATTGAGCACTTACTGTGTACCAAAAGAGTTCTAAGTACTTTACACATTATCTTACTCAGT